TGGCTTGAAAAGCCAAAGAAAGAGTGAGTTCTGAAAGGGTAGTGCGACTGTGGGTTAGAGATAAATAAGCTGACCTTAGCTTTGCCCTTTGGGACGTAATAGATCCCTGAAGCCCTGAGGAGGAAGTAACGCTTCTTCCACGACTTCTTTCCATCCTCTTTGAGCCACAGAATCCCCTCGATCTCTGGCACAGACACAGATCCACCACAGAAACATTCCTAAAAGCCACAAATCGACACAATCAGCGTTTTTTCCCCTTTGGTTTATATTACACCTTTATCCTTTTAGATCTCTACCTCTAGTAGAGCTTCCTTATTCCTGTCAGCCATCTCCGAGGTCTCCTTCCGCCCTAGCAAATAGTTCTGAAACAGATGAAGAGCACAGGGAAGTGAGTTGATGATCAAGATGGGAGGGTGAGGTTCAAGCTGGCAGCACACTTCATCTCACATAAATAAATTATTCACCTTTACTCGCTTTAGAGCTTTGACCCACTTCCAATTCTCTCTGTGACTAGCAGCTGTGTAAGCGCTCAGCATGCATAAGCTATGTGTTTGTATTGCTTTACAGTCTACAGGCGTGCTGCAGTTTAAAGGGTCAGTCACCTGCGGGTTCTTGAAGAGAGCGTACTTCTCGATGCGCTCGATGAACATCAGCTTGTTGTGGCTGTCTCTGGTCCAGTTTAGCAGGTTCTCCACCAAGTTCTCATGATCCTCAAATATCCGCTCTGGAAAAACATCAACCATCTTAGCTCAAAGCCAATGTTTATGGTGTGTTTATTTAAGTTACGATGGACTCCTGGCTTACCCATCTGTAGCTCAGTGATGGTCTCCACAAGGGACCAGTCGGGACTGTAGCCGCAGTGCGACTTGTCCAACAGGCTGTCCAGCACCTGTCTGACCGACTGCCGCTCATCCACCATCATGGTCTTCGAGCTCTCATCCGACATATGCACTCTAATCACCAGCTGACGGAGAATAAGAGCGTTAGGAATCAATATTTATTGGATTTACTGTTCCTTGATTAAACAGATGAAGTTAAAGATGACATTGGAGAATAATAATTGGCACACGGATGGTCATTCTTTTGATGTAATACATTAAAAAATTAAAGTTTATTTCTTTAACTCGGCTAAAAAAAACTCATATTTCAAGCGTTTTTCTCCTGTTAATTTAGCTATAAAATCCATAAAAGAGATTTTTTAAGCAGAAATTATTAAACCATAAATTAAAAAAGTGCTGACATCACAGATTTCTTTCAAATTATTGCTATTTAAGGTGCTGTCTCATATCAAATCATTGTAAAGCTTAGTGAAAGGAAAATACAGCAAATAAGTAACAGTTATAGTAGAGTTAAGAGTTGAAATGTCCATGGCATGGGCATCAACTGTAGCCTATTGAAGAGGGGACAACCTCAGAAAAGCTTTAGCTGAGTCATATTTTCTTTTTTCTAGTAGATGGTCAAATCTGGGCTGGATTCTGTGAAGGTAAACTGGCCGGATTCTAATGCAGCAAAGGGATCCCATACCATGATGCTTCCACCTCCATGCTTCACAGTTATTCATATAAAACAAAGCATCCAAGTCGTTTAGATTTAGATTCATCAGTCATTCTGTTCTCAACAACTTCAGTCTGGCCTCCACGCTTTTCTTATAAAACAAAGATTTCTACAAAATCCACAAAACTAAAACTTAAAAATGGAAAATTCTAATCTAAGCTACACTATAAACTAATTTAAGATCATTTAAAATGTCACATATTTTGTCTTAATTAATTATGAACCCATTTTGAAGAGATATCTTTCTCACACAGCAGCTCCACTTTTTATTTAGCTCTCCAACTCTGACCCTTCACCCGGCCGCTTTAAAGCTACGGATGACTGAGCTCCAACCCAAACCGATAAAGACTCTATGCCAGAGCCTCAGACACGGGGAGCCTGACCTACATTTGTCAAGATTACAAACCGACCCACCCCCTCTGAATTTCTACTGCAGAAAAGTTGATGAGAAACGCTGAATTTCTAATTAAAAATATAACAGCTGACGGTATTTCATGCATTCAGATCATGTTGAAATGGGAAACCTTGCAGATCAAGGATGAAGCTCACTGTCACGGCTCTAGCAAGCGCCTTTTATCTCATCATGTCAGAGAATAGTACTGGTAGTGGAGACACTGCTGGGCTCAAAGACGGTTCATTCACTGACAGAAACGAAGCGTTTAGCATCAATAACCGAATGGAGGCGGCTTTCGGTGGATGAAGGGGCTCCAGTTGTGCAGCCAAACACCAGAACTGGAAGACATTTCATTGTCTGAAAATGCACAGAGCGCCGTCTCGCTTCCCCTTCTGCAAAAACGCTGCAATGACCTATTTTGGATGCGCTCCGGCGCTTTGCCTTGAATGAAGTTCAAAAGAAACGTGGATATGACGAACGTTATATAAGGTCGGAGGACTTTTGTAGTCTGCAAAAAAAAAAAAAAAGTCAGGAAGAAATTACCTTTTTGACCTGAGCCTCCTTGATTTTCTCCAGAGCGACACGGATCTTCTCCGCCTTGATCTTGGCAGCTTGCTCCTCCTGGATGGACACACAGGGACATTTTTTAATAGAACACACACACTAATACGGCTTCTTATAACGAAAGGCTTTAAAGTTCAACTGGCTTTCTCCTTTAGTCCCTTTTCAAAGCTTACCTGCCCTCTCCAGCAAGATGCCATCACCTCCATTCTACAGGTTAGATACGCCTATACTGTAATTAATGTTATATAACTGATGGGAATCGTAGCGTGGCAGTCTATCATAGATTCATCTGAAGCTGATGCAGCTTCCTTTGATCCTATTAAACAATGCTAGAAGATCCCTAAAGGGCGCAAGTCTGCAGATGGATGCAGGGAGACTTCAAAGAGCATCCAGACGTTCCACCAAAAATCCTCCGAAGAAGTGGGAAACGTCCAGATTTCGCAACGTAAAGTTGTTCCGCCATGATCCTCAGCAGAAGTGCATCTGTCCGAGTTTCTGCACTGGTATGGGGGGGCTCACTGACATTCATACATGTGCGCCAAAGATGAGCACAATTTAAAATAAAAAAAAAAAAACCCCAGACGAGATAGTAGAAAGGAAGACGCCCCTCCCCCTTGCTCCTTCCCTTCCTCTCTTTATAAAGAGCAGCCAGGCGATTGGGAGCGTGCCCAATCGATGAAGCATAATCCCCGCAAATATAGAAGGCAGCCGAAGGGGTCGGCCAACCGGCGAGCCCCTTTCGTCGGACCCTGCGGCCAATCGACGTGAGGCGATGACAGGCTACCGTCTTGAAGCCAAACCACGGTATCAGAGATGTGCAGCGCTGGAATTTAGGTGAATGCTGAATATTTGAAGGCGTGCGTGTCTACAGATGTGTTTGTGTTCACAGAAAGAGGGTGAGAGGGGGGCTCCCTCCTCCCTTTGACCCAGACTCTCTTTCACATGAGTAACTTCAAAGCAACCAGACGTTAATGGAAGAGGAGACAGTGTGGCAGACGCATGGAGTCCAGCTTTTAGTCTCTAAGGTGTGGGTGAAAGAGTAAGAGTGGAAGAGGTTTGCAAACTCACACTGCAAACTTCTACTTATTAATCCCTCTACTCCCAGTTTCTGATTAAAAATGCCTCTGGTTTCTCTTCCATTGCTCCCTTCCCACCCAGCCACACCACCGTTTTAAGAAGCTCTACTGCCTGGTGGGGGGATATTTTTGTAGGCTTCCTCCCACTTTGATCTCTTTCCACTCCCGTCTCTCTCCCCCGCCCGCCTGCTTTGCCCGCTCAATTCAGAGCTCCCCATTTGCGAGTCAGTTCTTGCAGCTCATGCACTGCAGGATTTCCCTCCTCTAAAATGCGCAGAAACCCGACAATCCAGCCATATATATAGGTTGATCGTCGAGGAGAAACTCGATCTGGTGTATGAAGCTTTTGCGATCTCAAAGTTGTTGAAGATGAACTTCAATCAGTTCAGTTAAAAAGTCCCCCTTCTTTTTTGTAATGAAGCATAGGAGGGTTTTGCTCTTGCATAATTAGTGTGAAAGGCCTGATAATCTGCAACAAAGGGTTTTGTATCCCTTACCATGGGATATTCTCTCTGTACGAGTCTAAATTTGCATGGGCTCTTATTATGTCATGCTTTGTTTCATATTCTGACTTGTGGCTGTTGCATTGTATACTATTAAATAAGTGTCTAATACGTCCATTAGGTCTGGAAGCAACCAAGATGCTTCACCCGTAATAAATATTGATCATAGTCAAAAAAAATAAAAATTGTCCCCAAAACCTTGAAAGCCTTAAATCAATTTTTTTCCACTTAGATCAACCTGAGCGTCATCTAATCTGTATTATATGCCTGGGAAGCATCTGAATGGATTTCATTTATTGGGATTTAAAAAAAATATTTAGACCATTTTTCAAGTTGATGTCTTGGGAGGACATTTGTTGACAACTTGATAAATAATCAAAACTGATATTTTACTTCACTACAGCAACACTGGAAAAACTCCGACATTACGGCACAGGAGGCCCGATCCCAGTTTTCCATTTTCCAAGTTCTTCCTTCAATCACCTGATGATCGATATACCTGAATCCCTCAGCTAGCAGCAGATTTCTTAAATCTGGCTTCAGCCATGACTTTAATAATCCAAAATGACAACATAACCTTTAAATAACATCCACCTAATCTAAATAATCCTCGCCTTTAGCAAATAACTAAGGAACTGTAAGTGTAAATTACATGTGATACAACATTTGAAAGCAAACACCTTCTAGTTTCTGAAAATG